GAATGAAACGTTGTTAAAAGGAAAACCAATGAAATAAGAAAATAAGATTGAATAGGTCAGAGTCACTGAACAATAGACAATAGGTTCAGGGTGATGATGTGAATTTTTAACAAGTGTGTATGTAGATGTATGAGTAAAATATAGGGAAACTGAAATGAATTAAAACTTCAGTTTGTTTGGGAGTAAGAATACACCACTGTGATAAAAACATGCTCAAGCAAATAATACTATTTTACTGTGTGATACTTCGAATAAACCACCTGGAACCGTATGAGTTTGCATGGGATTTTGCTTATTGTGACGAAAGATTTAGACGTCTAATTTTATTAATAAATTATTATGTTTAGTTATGTGGCTTATTTAATCCGTCTGCATGATCCAAGTCAGTGACCCGCTTTTTTATTAAACTCACTAGGATTGTATTTAAAAAAAACACTTTATGCTCAATTTTACTTTTACGAAGCAATAATCCTTTCAGCATCAGTTTTGTGGGCAATTTTGAATTCATTTAAAAATGAATAGTGTGCGAAACTGCTAAATTCTTATTTACAGCAATTTTTCAGTTTTCCAAGTCAAAAATATTGAATCATTTTGTTGACTATTCTTCATCGTAGGGACATATTACCTTATTAATTTTCAAGATCAATATAATTGGGACACATTGTTTACAACTACTTTAGTGACTACATCCTAAGGGTTTTTTCATTCTTTTATAGACTATGAATGAGTTATGGAGAATAAGATGTAGTTCTTATTGTTGACAAAGTATCGGAACTGATCGACTGCCACTGTTATATGGTATATGCCTCGATAATGACTAGTTATTCACTATTTTGTAATTTGCTTGGTAGTAGCTAGTAGTGGGATTCACGACGCGTGTTTTGTCCTATTTAGGACTGAGGTGCAGGCAAATCCAGTGGACGAAACGTGTGTCTTAGATTCTATTGCAAGCCAACACCAAGCAAATAACTAAAATATAGGACACATTTGAAATATTTGACCAGTTCCTCAAAGTCGTTTCTTATGGGAACTGATGAGATTTACGTAGTTATATGACGTATAGAGAAATCAAAGTTCAAACATGGAAAAGTGCCTAAGCTTTCCAACAGCACCCAAAGACAAAGTGCATTAAAATGAATGATACCGAAGTATAAAAATGAAAATGACCAAAATGCAATTGAAGATCATGGGATACTCTGAAGAGTAAAAAAGTACTTACTTGTTACTTAGTGTTCTATTTCTATATACCATGGCCAGATGGTTTAATGCGTGATACCACTTATGAATCTGAACAAGTGCATATCTAATTCATCCGATTCAATTTTGATTCTCATTGTTATTGTTGAATGTTAATACTGTACTGTGTTAACATTTTCATGAGTCTGGTGAGACATTAATGAATATCCATACTTCGTAAATGCAACCGTATTCTAAGCTAAAGAACAGTAAAACGTTCATGTTAAACCATGAGTGTATACACTTAAACCATTTCTGTCCAGATGGTTTACACTGACTGATTTATAATATCTCGAAGTAGGCAGGCAGTCAACATCTCATCAATCAGTTTAAGTCAACAGTTTGAGAAATAATGATCCAATGTCATGTCTTGGTCTGGTTACCTTTAACTTTCCTCCAACTTAACGTCACTTTGAACATCAACAGGCATTCACGTAGACAGTGGCCTGGCCTGCACAGGACATGTATAGGCAACCCCATTCATTGGAGATTCATAACTTCGTAGACCAGTTTGACTTCCTCACTGGGACCTTCACATGTTCACTGAAAATTTCTTGCTTGAATGATCTTGTAGATGCACTCATGATAAAACACTTACAGCCTCCTCGTGTTTTCTACCTTCAGCAACTATGTCTCACAGTCGTACTGACAAATGTTTTTTTTCTTTAAGTGAAGAATATATTAAGTTTTTTGATTTTCAAAGCTGAAAATAATTTCTTAAGATGTAATCGCCCCCGAGTCCGAATCCCGGTGGGAACAACATCACTCACTGGGAGGCAGGTACATCCAGCTGACGAGACCCAAATACGACGAATTGCGCATCCTGGATTCCACTGCTAGCCATTATCCATCTTTACTAGAAGTCTATAATTATTTGCTGATGAAATGTGGAATATTCAGATGTGATTATACTAAATTAGTTTTAAACATTGTACTGAACAATGAAATCATAGATTTTTGTGTGTATTCCATCTACATGAAAAACTTTTCTCTCTACACGGTTTGACTTTAACAATGTAAAAGATATAAGCAGCTCTCAATAAATTTAGCATATATATACATATACGGAACAGCCTCACGTTACAAAACTCTAATGAAAATATTACTGATATTATAGACAACTATTCCAAAACTTATTTGACATCTCTGCCTGTTCCATGGTTCGTCACTTTTCAACAGAAAAGTCGGACATAGACAGTTACGTTAAGATAACAACATGGGTTTTGAGCTTTGAAGTAGAAGACTTTCACTTTCTCATATTCCTTAGTTGCGAACTTGGACTCAATAGGAGTTGTATAGGTGGCCGGACAAAATATTTGCATGAACAGATTTTCATAATCCGTACTAACAGTTGAAATAGATTTAGTTTTCACTCTAACTTTGAAAAGGTAGTATTGAACTTCACTCACACCATTTTTCATAAGTTTTTCAATCATAATAGCCATTTCAGGTAGACGATTGACAAGGAAACTTTCATTGGATAACTGACAATTTTGGTAAAAGAGGGTGGTAGAGAAATATTTTTCATTTTTACGTTTTCTCCCCATCCCATTAACTGATCGTTAATCGGCTAAGTAATATTCAGCAAGATGACCAACGAATTTCAGAAGGACTAGTTACTCTCTCTCCCTCTATGAATAGACTAAATTTTTTCATATTCGAGTCGAGCAAACGGAGGCGTTACAACTGTTTCTTTCCTGCGTCCGTTAAGGTACAGTTACACTACCATCTGAACTTATGCATTCAACTTTTTACTTCCAGAAGAGTAGCAATCCACTATGGATCCTTTGCAACAATGGATATATGACCTGTATTTCCGTTGACGTGATACTGGTGGATGCTCAGTGGAATAATGTTTGTCCGTTTGTTTGTAGTTCTACTGTTCAGGACTAAGTAGGTGCAAAGACAGCATCCAGTTGCGGTTTTTGATTCACTGAAATAGGGTCCCATAGATACCACTGAAATGCCTTTCTGGCTGATTTAGCTTCCCTAACTATGTGTCGATGTCATCTATCAGAATGACTATGTTTGGACTTCTTCACTGTGAAATAATATGACACGAAGATGGTTCCAGGTTATACTCGAATGGTTTTGGTTGACAGTACGTCAAAAATATTGATTTGATTAGTGTAATAAGATGACGAAGTTTTCCTGAACAGTGTTATGTACATAGGCAATATGTTTTGAACAATCTGAACATGAATCCACCTATCAAGTCAACTTATATAAAACTGAAGAATCCGAGGATAAATAGAACAGTCATGATAATAAAGGGATTGAAATTAAGAAATTAAGAATCTTGGTAACAAAACAAAGTTTACGAAGGTAGGTGTAGTGTAAAAATGGTCAATCCGTCGAAAGCCTATGAGAACTGGCAAATATCTTAATTTTCACACTTTTGTTCGATCCACTGCAAGCAAGGTCTGATAAAATGTCCATTTGATAGGATACATCGTATCTGTTCAACAGATAAGCTGGATGAATGTATCAGGTTACTAATCAAAGTACATAGGAAACGAATATCCGTTGAAGTTTACAAACCACTACAGAAATCAGTTAACACTAAAGTCCACAATCTTCTTGGTTTTTATGAACAGCCTTTATCTCACTTTACCATAAACAGAGGAGTTGAATAGTACGACTTGAGACGAAGGCTAAGACCTGTCATTGGAAAAACGCACTATGCAATCAAGTTTGTCGTTGTAGAAGAAACAGAAACATGCTTCATCTAAAACCTGGGCATTTCAATAATAATTACGTCACACCGCACTGTGTTTGCCAATTTATGTGTTTGTGTGTGGACACAAGTAAGGCCGAGTAACTGAGTTATGCAGTTAAGGGTGGGATAGTATGTGCCTAATTTCTTAACAGATTTCAGTGCTAGGTGGTTGGATGAAATTGGCAGGAAACCCTGGACCTAGATGTTTTGCCTGCTGGCACTTGTTTGCAAGACGTACCAGCAACCTCGAGGGAACTGATGTCCTATCTAAGAATCAAACTCATATCATCTAGTTCTGGATTCTGTAACGTTACCACTGAGCTATTTGAGCTCATTGCCGTAAGCACACGACTAACAACCAAAGGATGGTAAGTTCACAGCTTGCTCTGCTTACCGATATCTGGCTTGCAAGCTGATACCGTTGGCTTTTCCACAGTAAATATCTTTCACTGTCTAATGCATGTGACTGCTGAGCGCATTAAAAAATTTTCATACTGATATTTACAGTGCTTTCTGTAGGTCGACCGTTCTTACACTACACCTTCCTTGGTAAACTGTTTTATTACCAAGATTAGGATCAAATATATTATCCTTTCTTTTTATTCTTCTTAAACTTATTCTTTTCTTATCATAACTGTTTTATTTGCTCTGGCATTCTCCAGTTTTATATAAGTTGACTTGACAAGTGAATGGATGATCCGATTGTGCGAAAAAGAATTGCACAGGTACATCGCACGGTTCAGCAAAACTTTGTCTTCTAATTCTAATATCCAAACTAATAATAGGGACTAAGTGTTGCAAAATCATCGATTGACTACCGCTAAACAAATAAGCATTAAGAGGAAAGTAACAGACAGTAGGCAACTAATTTACTATTACTCTAAGGAAATCAGTCGTAGCAAACTGAGATTACATTTAGGACTTAAATTAATATCTCTGGTGATGAGTTTTAGTACTTCAGGAGGAAACTAGGTTTTTAAACTTCAAACAATCAAAACGAAATTCCTTAAATTATCTTAAGCTGATAAATGTTTTTATTACTCAGGAAGCGTCGCAGCAGCGTAAACAGAAGATGCGGGAATACGATTTGAATCGAGCACGAAATGAAGGTCTCACAGATCTGGAAGAAGAGGCAAGAAAGCAGGCAGAAGTTTTGTTACAGAAGGCAATAGAACAGCGACAAGATCAGGAAGACGAAATAAAGGCACTAAATGAATGGATATTAAATGCCAAAATACAGGCAATTAGAGACGAACAAATTTTAGAGAAGGGTCAAATTAAAAAAGAAATGGCTGCTGAAGAATTACGTTTAGATAATATGATGGAGTTGGCACGGCAGAATGCCATACACATACAAGAGGAAATCGACAAGAAACGCAAAGAACAGGTTAGCACACTCGAAGAAAATAATCTTTCTATTTTGTTGTCATTTTTTAGACTATGAAGAAAATCTCCCTGGTTTACTTTTTATTAAAATCACAATCTGTTCCTGAATACACTGAACTTCCATATGACTTGGTAACGTTGGGACAAACGTATGTATTTGAGTATGTAGATGTCCATTATACGTCGTTCTCTTAGCTGAAGTTTTGAGTAATATATTTTTCAGTGTCATGCAACATATTGTAATCAATGTAAACTTCACAACAGAATGAAGTCAGATGATAATATACGGCTGTTTCACAACAGTTTCCCAGCTTAGTGATGTTATTATTTGATCTTTTACTTTTGAGTAACTTACCGATTGGTGTAGCTTGTGATTCGTAAACGTTTCTTGTTCAAGTAAACTGATACGGGCAGCATTAATCTGACTTATCCTTTATTGCTATGAGAAACTAATCCTACTAATTGCTTCATCTGAAGGGAGCTGTTTTTCTACTTCTGATCAACTGATTTTCATGGAAGAGGGTTACACTTTTATCGATCAATCAATTCTATCTTTCATTTGCTAGACAGAAGAACTAACCTGATATTTTTATAAGATACTCCATTATTTGAGCAAACTTTTCTGTTCGCCGAAACCAAGGAGATATTTACTGTAAGGAGGAAATCAGGCATGTTCGAAATAAAGTGAAATAATGCAACTGTACATTCTCATAAACTAATAGAGAATTACTTCAATTAGTTTCAAAGTAGTAGTGATCACTGGCTGACAGGATTTAGAGCACTGGACCTGGCTGCAGACTCTCTAGCAACGCGTATCACAACCCCACCAGAAATCCAGCTTAGGACCGACAATTCTTACAGTCAGCATGTTACCATTCAGCCAATGGGTTAAAATCCAGTGGTCCGCATTAATTTGCTACTGAAATATTTGAACTAAAACATAATTACTTTGAAAATTAAGTGATAATATTATGTAAATACTAAGACGGCTATTCAACCTGATAGAAATAAATGAGCTTAACATTGGATAAGTTTGTTTTAGATGAAAATATATTTCAAGGTAGTTTGAATCATGGACTGACATTAATACAAGTTCTCGATAAATACTACCCTGAAGTCAATCAATCCCCACAAATTAACAAGTGAATTACTATCTAGTGCTCATTACTTACTTGCTTCTAGCTGGATTTCCTGAGGTTTCAAGGAGAAGCTGTAACCTGTATCATCTACCTCGTCGTAAGTGACGATAGGTTATAGTCGATGACACTGGATCATAGTCATACTATGTCGTGAATTGACTGAAAAAGGAAAATTTGGACCACTGAGTCACGACTCATTGACCTTACGGTAAGACCTTACAGTCCTAGTTTTGTCTCTTCCACTGTTGTAGGTGTGCACTGTTCAGGAGTCTGAAACTAGGACGAAGTAATTGAACAATGTTTCCACTTTTTCAATACTCCTCCAACTGACATTGTTCCATGGTGAAAACAACCTTGAAACCAATTAATCCTCAACTACCATCAACAGAAATATATTTGTAAGATTCTAATGAAGTGGTAAGATAAGTTTTTAACACTTCGAGACTTCCTTTAAACAGCTGTTCGAGAGAACAATACCTTAACAAGTAATCACATGTTGAGACATAATATAGCCAATCACACTATAGTGACACCCATGCAAATGTATTTCCACTACAAATTTCCTACGCAATGCCTAACTTATTTAATTCGATAACTTTGTGATATAATCCTCTCACTCCATCAGAATTTATCGATATATTCATCGGCAAAACTGTGAGAATTAATTTCACGTAGCACTTTAATAGTCTCGGGATTTGTGCTTTCGATGCTCAGGTTTTATGATACCTTAATTGAATGTAAGGTCACTGATACTGACTCAGTTCATCGGCCCATTAAATATACGGGAAACTACGAGAACGTGAGATTCAGACCAGCAGGACAGACGACAGGACAAACCATACGCCTCTTATGGAGAAATTCTTATAGCCCAATTCTTTCTACGATTTTAGCTGATATTGTGTGGAATGACCACTAAAACTTCACGAGTGTACCATCCAGCTCACAAAACACCACATTACTAAAGTCATCTCCTTGAGCTACAAGTATTTTCCGCTGTCTTAAATGACGACATTCAATGCGTCGAAATAATTCAAATGTATTCATAGACTAGGTGTTCTGTCGTCCCCACCTCCAGATGTAAAAAATTATGCACCTATAGCCTTTTTCTCACCAATATTTCTGTTTAAATCTTATTTTGCAAAGACAAATTTTCTGATGCCAATCCAAGTTTCAGCTTTAATGTAGCTTTATTTATTCCATCTAGACAGAAATTTAATTCTTCATTCGTTAGCATCTATAAAGAGAATAATTTGCACACATGGCACAGTTCATTGTAAAATAAATGCGATTGTACAAATACTCGTAGAAAAAGGATATCCATGCAAGTTTGTTGAATTCATTGGAAACATACTGAGTGGTTTCACACTTTTCCAAAAAAGACTTTAACTATGAAATTTGATTTGCGAGGCATTACTGCAACTGAAATCCTAAATAACCAGTTTTCCAGAATACTGAGAAGAATATCCTTTTTCCCTAAACGTAGGTGTTTACCACTTAAGTAATAGTTCTTAAGTGTGATAAGGTCAAACTGCCACTTTAGATAATCTTAATGTGTTTTCACGTTTGTTTGCTCCTTTGGAACTAATTATCTGGACTACACAAGGCGTCATTCTACACAGTTGTAGTGATGAGAATAAAAAATATATAACCAGTTCGATTTCTGAACACATTTTTATTTCTGAACACGCACCTCCATTGGAGTTCACTTTCTAAATTGTTAACAAAACCAAACTGAACAGTTCAGAAGAAGTGCGGTTTGGTAACTGGTGCATAGCATAGGGACCACTAGTTCATCAATTCAAGCCTAGCCTTTACATTTCAAAATACGCTCAATCTCCCATTCTGCAATTGTCAAAATTCTTTCTTCGTTCTTTTAGGTATATTATAATTAGTCAGTTCGCTACTATCATCAGCACCAAGAACCTTCTTTCTGTTTCCAGCTTTTTTACATTGATCAAAACAAAAGTCAAAATCTTGCTTCAAATTTGAAAGCAACTAACAAGTCAAATTCCATAATTTTCATCTCACTTTCATCATCTAGTATTCATTTATTTTTTCTGCATTTTCTCTGGCATTTATTCAGGGCATCTCAGTAAATATGCTGCTTTATGTAGAAAGCTTACCAAGAGCCCAGATTACATTAACAGAGATTCGTTGCATTGGCTATCTAGAAGTGAGATTTTTCAAATTCTGCTTGCTTATTGGTCATTCATATGGGAAAATAGACTACCTATGACTGTCATAATTGCAAAGCTGTCAATTCCATGTGATTTACTTCAAGCCGAACAACTAAGTACGAAAAGTCTGATTTACAGTCTATTTGGCGAATAAAGAATATACTTCATGGCTGATTTGAAAGGGAATATTTTTCTTTCCTTGGCTTGAAGGGAACGAAGGATAATCTGCAGTTAGAGAACTTTTATCAAAATTACAACATGTTCAATTAAACAAAACAGTTCTTTTGAGGTTAATGGGGATTTCAATTTCTAGATAGTATTCATCATGGAATGATATCAGTTGGAGAACCATTGAAAACCTGGGAGTACTGGACAGCTATCTCGTTGCAGAATGGGACTCGTCAGCAGTATGCACATATGACCCGGTTAGGGATCGAATTCAGGACCTCCTGGTTTCACAACGAATGAGTTAACCATTCAGCCACTGGGTCGAAGTCCAGTGGTTCACAATATCCTACTTCTGTCAATTCTCAATATAGCGTGACTATCATCCAAAGTCTTCAGTTGGCATCCGCTTTCCTCCAATTGATTGAACCCACAGGTTATGGTTTCTCATAAGAACTTCGGGATGTCCATCTGGAAGCATCTCACCAATGAACACTATACAGTTATGTATTTTAAGGTTAATTTCTAGTGCTCCAAAGTTTTCAGTGGTTCTCCAAATGATATTAGTTCCATGATGAATATTACCTGAAAACGCTGTTTGTCAAAATGAAAAGTGATGAAACACTAATATGTGTAACTTATTTTATGCCTAAACACAGCATTTATCTCCAACATGCATAAATGTGGGCTATTGTAAGTTTGTATAGATTAATTTACTTGTCCTTGAGAAAGTTCCATGGTTTACCACAAACTGGTTTCTTAATGTCTAATCATATAGTTATAGCAGTTCAAAAACTCATAATCTTTTCATTCAAAACTAATAATCTTACTTCTCAGGAGATGGTTGGCGCTTGTATGGTCTTAGAACAAATAGAACAAAATAAACAAGATCGTTTATTAGAGTTGGAACGTGCTGAACAAGAAAATGCTTTAGCTATGCAACGAATAGCTGAAGAACATATGAAAGAAATCGCGAATAGAGAAAAGAAAAAGAAAATCCAAGAAAAACATAGAACAGAGTTGAATATAGCCAATGAAGAACTAAGGAAACGAAGAGAAATTGAAAAGGAAAAGGATCGTCTTATGGATTTAAAAATAATGCAAATTCAAAATGAAAAGGCTGTAAGATGAATTTAAAAGTTCTTTTAAGCTATATGTATGTCTAGGTATCCTATAGAATTGTTATAATTGAATGATTTCACATGAAATTTAATGTAATATCCATAACATTATTTTGTTTCAATTCATTCTAAGTCTCTGGCTAACATCGTGTTCCGCCTATTTTTCCAACATTAACCAAACAATACTGAACGTTACAAAAATAGATGATATTATGTTAAAAAATTGAGTGTCCATATTTCAATTTTGATGGACAATATTTGATTCAATACTTCAATAGATCATTTGAGTTTCAGCATGTACAACTGTAGTATCTAATATTGCAGTGATAAACTTTGCAGTTGAAGTCTTAGAGAAAGAAAAAGGAAAGTCTTCTTGAAGTTGTAGTTCATGAATTCTCGAAAAGTGTACGATGGAAAAGAAGCTGCAGACGGAAATTTCTTATTCCTAGGAGACTTCAGTCAAGCTTATCTGTAACTCTGAATAAACCTGAATTTCTGATTAGAACTCTGTTCCATTTTCACTCAGCTGTTTGATTTGTGGCTTGTGTACAGCATGATTCAGAAGTACTTACCATACGATGAACAAATGGTAACTACTACTAAACGGTAGCTCTAAGCGTGAATCAAATAATACTAGTTAAAGATTGTGATGTTAGTACCAATTTAGTCAGAGAGTAACATTATATTTCCAGCCAAATGTTTGAAAGTAAATAGCGTGAAGAGCTGAACAAAATTTCTATGTTTACTATATATCCACAACAAGGAATATCCACATTAATTATGTAATAAAAGGTATCTCCATAACTTAAACACATATAACCTATTACGAAGCCGTTTAGCAGATAAAAATCAGTGGACAGTATATTTTTGTGACTGTGAATAGAACAAATCCATATTATTATAATGAAAATTCATTTTACTACTATTTGAAATCATTAAGTTCATTAGAACTTGAACTAGATAGTTAAAAGTATAAAATTCACAAGTTTTTTTAAATGAGCAGAATAATATATTTTTCACGAATAGACAGCAAATCTAAAAAGAATAGAAATAAATAATTTAAAACGTGCTGTCACTTAATTAACTATTCAACTCAATTTGTCACTATATCTTGAGTAAATTAATTACACAGTCGTCCTGCAAACGACTGTATCTAATGTAACTAAAGTGTCATGCATGTCAATAAATAGTTTTATGTGTAAAGTTCAAGCTATAGATAGATTAAGGATTCTTTGTACACTGTTAGATACTTTTAACTGTAATACAGAAATTACCTAAGGATCTAATTTGCTTTTAAACATAATATTTACTTAGTGAAACAAGTTAACTTTGTATAATAGTTCTCTTATAATTCTATGATGGGACTGAAACCAATACCTCATGACTAATTTCATTGTATCATATTAGCTGAAACAGTTAAATTGAGTGAAAATTTCACAGATAAACAATATCATGGTTTATTATTGCTTGGAATGATAGTTGATTTTTTAGAGGAACGTCCTTTTCGAAATCTTACTGAAACTGTCGAGTGTTTTCGTGACTAAAATAAGGATTTCAATGAAAAATCTACTCTTCTGAATAATAGCTACAAATTGTATAATTTGATTTAGTTTTTTTTACGATCACTGTCAACATAGAGAAGTTAGAAATACTGAATAATTTTTAGAAGAAAACTTGAGTTACAAGCGTAACCTTATATTGGTTTGCACAATTTATTTCCTACGAATCAGTTATTTCGGTGAAATCGGTAGTCAAAGAAAAAATCCAAGAGATAAATCGATAGAGAAATAATGAATTTTCTTATGCAACAACTTACGATTATCTATTCTAGATAATTGTAATCAATAAAATATCTATGTGATACCAAAGTGTAATCAAAACGAATGACATCTTTTCAGGTTAACACCATTAACAGAACCTTAATAATGAGCACTTTAAATTACATGTGACTTGTTTTGTTGTATGAATACTGTAAAGTGATATTTCACCATAAGTTTTGTAATAGTTGGGAGTTTGTTTATCGAACCAGCACCAAGTATACGCACTAAAACGATCCAGATACATGAAAACTTCAAATACCTGTATTACAAGTGATGAGAGAGAACTAGAATCAGATGAATCTTATTTTAAGTTATAAAGTTACTTTAGTAGGTGTATGAACACAAAATGGTATCTTATACGTTATTCTCAAAAATTAATACTGTTTTACTATGTGATAAATCCTACCACAAAGCTCAGATTTTATTCATATATTTTTCGATAGTCTATAAAATGCCTAGGAATTATTACATTTTGATCCATACCGTGAAACTCAAAAATACAAGTTTACTATCGTTAAGGAAAAGCTTGCAATTAAACTCTTAAACGACTTATAAGTGTACTCACTACTGGGATATCGCTAACCGAGATCACCGAACAATCCACCAGTGAACCAAGTCGTACATGAGCACAAATACTCAGTGATGGCATTGGATGATGGAAGCACTATATCGCAAACTGACACCCCACAAAACTAAATTGTTCTCAAACACTCGTTAATGACTTGTATCGAGGTGAAAGTTCTCGAAGTTCTGGTGAGAAGTCATGACCTCTGAGGCGATTCAAGTCAGATGTGAGGATAAATACTCACTGACCACACAGAATAGTGCCGGCGCTACATCTTGAATAAATAAAAGCGTGGATCGTTCGATTCTGATCCGGTAACTCAATGGTAACGTGCTCACTGTCAAACTTGAAGGCCCTGGGTTCGAGTCCTGGAGAGGTCGTGGGTGCGAATTGCTGAGTCCAAAACTAGGACGAAACACCTGTTCAGTGCTTCCTCACGCTCAATGGTTCTCCAACTCATCAGTCTATGATGAATACCACCTTGAAATCATTAAATCTCCGCAAACCTCTAAACTAATTATTATTCAATTAGGAAATTGTGTTGTTTTATGAAGCTGACTTAACAATTCTATTGATTCGTAATCAGACTGTTTGATCAACTCAATCGGTGATTCTAAAAGCACCATCGTGTTTGTTTCCAGCCATAAGTTTCCATACATAAGTGTTTAAATGATTTCATCCATTTTGTTCTCCTTACAAATTTAAATAAGGCAAGAATGATCGTTCTAATCAGATAATATAATGTAAATTACTATTTATCTTGACTTACATACACAAATTTAGGTTGTATGCAGCTGATGAATATCTATGAAGAGAGATGAGTTTTTTTTGTTCTACAAATCTGCTCTTCTTAACTGACTGTTTCTATAACTATATTCACCGGCCTTTAATGAAGATACAAATGTACATCGATATTCATTACTTCATATGAACATTGGTTACCTGTGTAAAAATATTTTACCAGATAAGGTTCCCATTTATATCGAAGTCCTAAAGAAAGGTGTATGTTTTTTGCATCTATATCAAAGGCGAAACAGTACCTCATGAATGATCTGAGCTTTCAAATTGTTTACTTAAAAGGAATTGAACAGCTGGACAAATAAATCACTTCTTATACTTGAGTGGATTAGTTAGTGTTGTTCTGATAGTTGCCGATAAATTGGAGGTTGATATTTGCTAATAACATAACTCCAGAGTTATTATTGGTTAGTTCTAGAATGTTATCCATTCTACAAAATGATAGTGAGTGATTAATTTCATAACCAGATATGAGAGAAGCTATTTGATCATTCATATCTTTTTTGAAGACTTTCTGAAAATGACAAAATCATTGGGCAGGATAGTTAACCTCTGGGTATAAGGTTTTAAGTTTATTTGACTTCAAAAATTACCTAACTGACCAAGTTGTGTATGTTTCACATTAATGTGTTTAGTCTTCAGTTTTGTCATCATGCACTCAGTTGCTCATAAGGCCCATCGTTAGCATTGTACCGTGCAAACATGTTCGAAAAGAAGAAATATTTTTCCATATTACAGCAGGATAACTTATCTGTTTCACTGTGCACATGATAGAATAAGATTTCTGAATGCTAATGAGAAAATGGCAAATAACTATATATATAATCCCGTTTTCCTCTCTATAAAGGAACGTGAAGCAGCTTATGAAGCTGAACAGATGCGTATAAAACAGGAGAAGGAATTAGAAATTGCACGACTACGTGCATTGCAAGAAAAAGCATCTGATGAGGCTGCTGAACGTGATGCCTTAAGAGCTAAACGAGCAGCTGAAGCAAATGAAAGAGAATGGAGACGTAAAGAACTATTAGCTGCACAAAAGAAAATTGAGACGGAAAATGAATTGAAGCTGGCAAGAGCAGCTCAAGCAGAAGACAGAAAACGTCAGTTAGCAATTGAAGCTGGTCGCGAAAGACTTGAATTCGAAAGAATCTTAAAGTATTTACTTTTATTTCGCATGACCATTTTTAGTTTGTGTTTGTAAATAAATATCATTGAATTAACAAGTCGCACCATACCCCTCCAGCCCTTAATTTGACACTAATTATGATATTACAACTCACTCCTTCCTTAAATCTTTCTTTATTCTTCCTTAGGTCTTTGATTTTCGACCAATTTATTTCTACTTTCGTTACATGTTGATGTTGGGGATGGGAACTTGGTCCGCTGCTCACTACTATCAGGTTCATGTTTCATTATTTACTGAGTGATTCTTAAACTACTGATTATACGTAACATGATGCTTTGAGATAAAATATGACTCATAAAAAAACTAGATTTAACGAATAATAGGTGTCAATAATTAGATGATATAGGATACTGTTTCTTGAAGAAACCGCGTGTTCTACGGAAAATGAACTGACTTGAAGCCATTGGGCAATCGACGACAAGTGCTGCGTTTGAATTCAGCAATCAGTAAAATTTTCTTTCAACAAAAATGTTTATCTCCGGGACTGATTTTTAATCAAGTAAAGTCCAAAATTTTCATGGCATGCAGTAATACTGCTCATAAAGGTCACGGATGGAAGGATATTTCTATATGAGAATGTTCCCTAGGTGAATTAATGAACAAAAGCAAAGAATTGCATATGGAACTGTCAATGTACTTCAAAAATATCAGTTAAATTGTTGCGTTCTTTGAGCTGAATGGTTTAGTTATGAAGCTTTCATTATCTTTCTGGTCACCATCATCACCACCAACTTCAAACCGGATTTTTCTTGGTTTTGAAGGTCTGGATATAGCGTTTATTCACAGGTCAAAGAGCACTGTACTCGAGCGGATCTCAGCTGACATTCATTTGTTCGCTGTTCAGCTGAATGATGCAGTTAGAACTAAGATATGGTGACAAACGCCATTATCTTTTTCCAAACTCAAACCGCATATCCACTTACTGCATTTCAGTTGAACTGAAAGACGAGTTTTACGGTGAACTGTATGTCTTTTTTGTTAATAGTTAAAGCTTCGAGTGTGATTGAATTAGCAGGCAACTTCAATACATTTGTAGAAAAGCTAAACTAAGCTAAGTAAAAAGGCACTTAAATGGTACTTTCAGAATCCCAGTAGAACGAACTAATAATGGTGATCGTCTGTTAAAGTTGTGCTCAGACGGCCATCGATTTCTGGCTAGTAGTAATTTCGGACATATAAAGGAAGACTTGGTCGAACGTAGAATCATCCAATTTCAACTTAAAAGTGGACATAAGTGCAGATAGGCCTGTAGCTACATTTCAATCTCCCACTATCTAGTTGTATCCTAAACAGGACATTAAAGTAGGATCCTAACACTTGTAAAAGTTTATAAGACTTTAGACAATCACTGACTATCTGTCTTCAAGAAAAGAAAAAGCCTGTAATGCAAACCACGATGGAATTAGTCTGATGAACTTACTGCCTACGATTCTTTGTTCTGCAGTCATCAGATGCCTAAGTAAAGCTCGAGAGCACCAAACCCGAGAAAAACAAGCAGGTTTCAGAGGTTAAATGTACCTTTTAATTTCGAAGGCAGCAGCCAACTATGTCAGTCGAGGGGTTTTTCGGAAGTATGTTTCATTTTGTAAAGAACAGTCTGCTGAAGGGTCTACACTAGAACAGTTACGGTTATGTTATAGCCTGGGGCAAGATATCAAGTGAGTTGCCTCAGTTCAGTTGTATCTTTCATGGATGTGCACTTTCTCCACTTTCATCTAACTTTATCGATGTGTTTTTGGAAAAATCTCAGTTACAGAAGACTCTGTGGTCAATCTGGTCTATTAACTTGCCAGAATCCTTTTAATATAAGATGTTGTCAGGGGACCGATGTTTTTGGACAAAATGTCTGAATTTTTCAGAACGTTCGGGATGCCTTTCTCGAATTTAAATTTGAGCTTTGGTGTCTCGTATTAAAATCAGGGAGTGAAGTTTTCGAGATTATTGACCAAATAACCTACCTACAGATCTGAATCAGCGCTGGCAAGTCGGTAACCAAAAGATGGATGGATATAAACTGATTATTCAGCTTTGCCAAGTGGCGACAAAAGTGACATGAACAATATATCTGGATAACTACTAAGAGTTGAATATGCTGCGCGACAACTTACTCCGCCCAGCTGTATAGCTGCTTTATAACGCATAGAAAACAATAAGATAACTGAATACTTATCAAGAGTTAAGTGCGATGCTGTTTCATAATCATCAAAAACAAGTATTTGAACACGCTTCAAGTTTTTGATCACAGTTGGCTTCATAACGTCATGTGCTTGAAACAGGACTACCACTTAATGAATGTAAGGATTATGTGTAGAGTATACAGGTTACTAAACTCCTATTTACTTCGATAGGTAAAGTACCCTGGAGTAGCATGAAATTTGAAGAAAGCCAAGATCCATCATATGAAGGTGTGGCACGAACCCATGACGTTTCTGAAAGTTGGTATGAGATGTATAATGATATAACGACTTCCTTGTTGTGGTTCAGTGGAAAGTCAAAGTCGATAACTGGATACTCCAAGTAATATATCTTAGAAGTGGTAGCACTGGTGCAGAAACAGTTATACTTAAGTTCTATGTTGTGATATCATATTTTGTTATTGACTTTAACTTCTCTTTCTGTTTTATGGCTTTCGACAACCTTTTACGATGTTGTTTTCATTTCCTCATATATTTCTTTCATCGTGTATGTTCGTACATCAACTTAAATGATATACAACAACTTTTTTACCGGCTGACCGAATAAAAATGTTGAAAACAGCATCCTAAGACAAATTCATACATTGGACAGACATAAAAGTTGAGTGACTCTAGAGAACAAAGGAAGTGAATAAGCAGTTCCACTGTAAATGAATGCGCATATTTTCCATTGGGAAGCCTGTTGCCGTGGTTGACAGCTCTGTTAGTAACTCCTTTATAGTTCCCTGTGCAAAATGTTGATCAATACAAGGAAAGTATCGTGGATAATATCAAGTAAAAAATAAAAAGTAGAATATTAAATTATAAAGAACTTAGCGTTTGACTATAGTTTACTGATTGCTAATCAAATGAATACTTGATTACGTTGGTAGAATTGATACTCATCAATATGAATGAACTTGTGGAATCCTCTCTCAGCAGCCGTTATGGTCTCTAAACGATAACTGAATTGATATTAAAACATAGAACTATTGACAGACTGAGTTGAAATCTACTAAAGTGAAATAAGTTGTTGATTATGTGAGAAGGGTCGCATTAGTAGGTATTCTTCAAATGACAAATAGTTGGTCAATGACATAAATAAAGGTCATTAAACAACCAATAGCAGCTGACCAAGGATTATAAAACACAATGTCTGTTCGACATAACCCATTATCATCAGTGAGTACGTTAATATAGCTTATTCCAGTTATGAATGACTAGGTGGCTAAACAGAAGGAATACAAGCATTGATAACTAAGTGGTTGTGAGAAGATATGAAGAGACCGAAAAACAAGTAAGCCTATATTAGAAGTGTTTTGTCTTTTTAAAGACTATATTTGAGTGCAACGGCACTGTAAACATCGGTCTGAGGAGATTTTGTCGTATATTTTTAGCTACACTTCGACTCTAAACGGCATAAGATGATCAGAGAAGCTTCATCTACTCGTGTTTTTCAAATGCTGTACTGAATAACTAAGGATGAGTATATGATGAGTCTTGGAGACTCCTTTAATCGATTAGGTGAAGTCAAGGTCATAGACAGACTTGAAATTAATATGCTAGGCTGATAAACGGAGCCAACATTTCTGTTGTTAGAAAGGCTATAATTTCGGTTATTGAAGCTTTTTATGTTGGATTACCGATGACAGGTCAATTATTATATTATAAAAACAATTTTTGTTTTAATGCACTACAAGACGACAGCAAGAATTGTTGGAAAACGATAAACGCGCTGAAAACGAAGCCAAACTGAAAAGCACTCAAAATCTGAAAGATCTTCGTCATCAAATATGTGAGAAAGAAAGGGAACGAATTGCTGAAAGAAATGCAGCATTTGAGGAAGGGGTTAGATTGAATGAAGAGGCAAGATTAAGGCGATTGCGTCTAAATGAAGCAAAAACACGTAAATTAAAAGAATTAAAGTAAGTTGATCAGTATAGTAAATTTTCATTCTAAAATTACATTTACTAGTGAAGTAAGTTTCTAAAAACATATCATCTTAATATAAATAGAATAATGTCCTTATTGTCACCGTATCACCTAACTATATCTATTAGGTGATGAATCCTTTCCTGTTAAGCAGCTTACAATGAAAACAATTAACTTTCGACTAATGAGATAGGATAGAACAAACGAGAAATATTACAAATATTACAAATTTAAATGAAACTCTTGTAATTGATACGCGTTTTATTCAGCAGCTGAACATTTCTAACCACCTATATTGCATTTAACTACACAATCATCTTTAGCAGCCTATGTAGATTTTAACAACTAGTGGGAAGACGGTAAATTTATTAATATCTGATAAAGTTGTTAGTCAGTGTTCCATATAATGGTTTAGCTAAAAATAAGTAACGTCAGTTTTAGTTGTATTGTTACTAAATGGATACTTGTGATGGAAACCTAGTGTAATGCCGCAATAATTATTAGTCCTTCAGTTCGTTATATATATATATATATATATATATATATATATATATATATATATATATATATATATATATATATATATATATATATATAACCTGCCGTTAAAATTGAAGCATTTTGATTTTGTAAACTATGTTGGAAAACTTGAAACAGATAGTCCCTTTTATGAATTTCGATAGCGTAATTAGAAGACGAAGTTTATCTAAGCAATGTGATGTATTTGAGCAATACATTTCGAACAATCTGATGACACATTTACTTGTCAAGTCAATATATATTAAACCGAGGACTGGGGGGGACAAATACAACAGTTAACACAATAGAGGAATAAAATTAAGAAAGATAAGAACAAACAGGAAGTGATATAGTTGATCCTAATCTTGGTAAGAAATCAAAGTTTACCAAGGTAGGTATGTTGGAAAGAACCGGAGTCCTGGTATAATTCAAACTATGAGCTTTATGATTACTGACTCGTCGTTCTACCTATTGAACTAGGAGACCTAACTGTTAATCCAGTACAATTTCGTTCAGCATAAGCTGATATGGTTACTCTGAAAAGTGAAATGACAAGTACACAGTTACGTATTCACTGGTCAGTTATGTAAAGTTGTCAAGAACCGTAGTGCGGTCAATTCCTAGTCAGGCTTTGGACGCTTTAGCCTAGTTGGTGGAGCGTAATGTTACAGGTTGAATACTTGCTTCAAGAAAGATTTTCAACTGTCTATCCTTTATCTATATTTATGTATACACAAATGCTACATGAAGTGAAAAGTGTTCTTTCCACATATCAATGCATGGAAAGTATCATATATATTTTGTGAAAAATTGTAATTAATGAATTTGGTAGAGATAAGTATGCATACATGCGTTATATGATCTCTTATATTAGTTATATTTTAGTACGCTTAAACAGACTGTTAACCTCTGTGTACAATTATTATCTTTCAATTTCAGGGAAGCTGGTATACCTGACAAATATCTTTCGCAAGTAGAAAGAAAAGTTATGCAGTTCGGTAATTTAATGCCGCCAGAATAAATTTTTCGTTTTTGTCACCATGAAAGCGACATTGGAAATAAGGAAGTATTATGTATGAAGTGAAACACAGAGAAAAAGTTTCAACAGTGAGCTTAAAACACTAAGACAATAATTAAAAACCATAAATGTTTTACTGATACCATTTTCTTAAACATGTCTACAGTAAATTCTGTGGTTTTCTTTTATCTCCTTACTTAAGTTGTTCATTTATATCGCTTAACTGGGTTACATTTTGTTAGAAATTTCATGTCACCCAGCATACTTTATTCGCAGGGTGAAATACATATGTAGGAAATTCCAACAATGAGAATATTATCGTCACTGAATAAACTATGCATTGTCCTACTCAGTAACGCTTATTACATTGTGACGTAACTGCCGTATATACATTTATGACAAATATTTATTTCTACCCTGTCTTAAGCAGCAAGCAAATTGTATTTGGCAAGTAATATGCATGTCTAATTATTAAGATAGAACTGGATTATTTTCAAACCAATATAAGTGTTATCTATTGATTATATATATATATATATATATATATATATATATATATATATATATATATATATATATATATATATATATATATATAATTTACCGGAACGGAGAACGAACACATTAGCGGTGAAACTTACTATCTTCACGACCTGTGGAAAATATGCTAGGATCTTATTTCACAACATATCATGCATTGAAACCAGAAGAAAATCTTGTGTCAATTTGCAACAGAAAGTTTCAATGCTTTTTTTAACGATTACCAAACGCTGTCGATATTTCTTCACACTGAAAGATGCTACTACTTATAATTTTTGAAAGCTGTAAGGATGCGAAACAGATGAGAAGTGGTTAAGTTCAATAGTAAAAAAAACCGTTTTAAAGATTATCTGCATAGGAACTGATAGGAAGCGGAGTATATCAAAACCAGCCACCAATGTAGAAGTTTTGGATCACAACCTTGGTTTTATGTTATTGTATGGCCAGGGAAAATCTTATTGAACAATCTTATCCTTCAGCTGACCAATCGAAATACGTGTCCAAGTTGTGACCTAGTGGCTTTATTTCTTGAGGAAAAACTGGATACAAGTGATGTGTTTTTTTGTCAAATAGAGTTGTCTTTCTTACAGTCAATAAAAACGTAAAACATAATGCTCAGTGTCTTCTGTATACAGGTTAGCACTAGCAGTAAAGATGGTAGTTTGCATGGGCTTTGTGTCAATTTTCTCCATGAATACACAGATGTCTTTACTGTAGTAGCGACTTTCAGCATGCTGGGTAAAATATGATCCATGTGGTTGTTTACTCAGTCATGAAAGTATCTCAGAAAAACAAATTTCTGATGAAGTCAATATACAGCAGAATAGCTGATAAGAGAAAACAAATCAGAAACAAGGAAAGTGATTATACTTCATGGTTTTCATAACTGAGCTCATAACTTCATATAAAAGTTAAACCGCCGTAAAAATATAACGACAATCAGTTAGTGTACGAGGAAGAAGTGGAGGAAAGCTATTAAATTAACACCAGTTTATTCTTTACACAAACTACATTTGCCTCTATTATACATGCGGAAGTATATTACTACTGGACATTCACAAAAAAGGAACAAGAAAGTCATATAATCCAGTGAGCAAAAGAGGAAGATATGCTCTTTCCAAGATCTGATTAAAAACCTTTAACTAGGAAGGTAGACCATATCAATAAACCGATAATTAAGATAGATTTTTTTTACAATAAGAAGGGAAATGATCAAAACACAATATTAACATGTAAGTAGCTGATGGATACATAGACGTATATATATATATATATATATATATATATATATATATATATATATATATATATACTTATATACAAATGACTACTTAGTTGATTAGCACCAAGGTGATCGATTTGTACATCCGCTATTTTGTATGAGACTGAAGATAAACAATCATAGCGCGCTTTATAACAACAAAAATCACATGTCAATATTGTGCAACTATACCATTACTGATAAGGATATACGTCTCCGAAAATGTATGGATTAACAAAGACATTTACACGCTATCTGTTAGAAAAATATAGCGATTCAGTTCTTTAAATTTTCGTGGAAAGACCTGTGTTAGTTCTCTACTGAACTCGAATAAACAGAAGAAAAGAGAAAGAAGCAGACTGGATAAACAGACAAAATAATCTCCCTTTTAGTGAGAAAAGTGAAGACAAATAAATATGAAGATCTGTTAAACAGAAGAGAAACAAAATTACAAAATGCATTTAGTACTAATATAGGATGAGACTGTTACTAACAACAGTAAGTTACCTCCACATAAGATATTTACAAATTAATTACGATTGGTAGCAACAGAAGTAAATCTGTTCAATAGGTATACAAAGGAATCTCTACGGAGAAATATCCTCTTGTTTTGTTTGATCTTCTGCATATAATCTGAATACTACGAGTAAGTAGATTCGTTTGTCAAGCTGCATATCTGCAAAAGAATACAGTAATGTATTTCTGAGTTCTTTTAAAACTTGATCACAACAGTAAATTCAAAAAAAAATCCTGTCTGTAGTATAACTACTTATAACTTAATAATTTGATGTTCTCGCGAGATGCATATATACTTGTTGTTTTCGGATTTCGATAACGATCAAGACTGAAATAGATAACTGAGTTAATCACCCTACTGGTTAAAGACAAATTCTAGTGAATCGATAGTGAGTTAAGTTCCAACAAAAACACATGTAACCTAACTATTTTCAAAGAATGTCTCACTTAGCTGGTTTTCTTTTCACCTCGATACAATAACAGTTCAGAATATAGCTGCTTTCACTGGTTATCTTCTAGTCTTTACAATGCAGTAATCAGCTATTTTAATTTTATATGCTTCGCTTATTCTTCGACTTGCTTTTATCTTTGATTAGCTTATATGATAACCTGTGTAAAATTGTCTTCGCTTCAAGTTGTAAGTTCATTCAGTTGACCAGTTAATAATATGAAGTCAGTAAGTAAGAATAAAAACTATACATTAAGATGCATATTCTTTACAATTTCCGAACTTATTTGTGGATAAGTAAGAAGCAAGCTATTAAGTTGAATGACCCTTAAATTAGTATATTCTACGTGCAGTTGCCGGTAACTTTTTAATTTACAGCTTAACTAGATAATAAAAAAAACTTGGTGATATTCAGTATAAAACAGGTAGCAGCGAGTTTTCAGGATACCACTGCTTGATATTTCGCTTTATAAACAGATAAAAAGAGGATAAAATCACTAGTTAACAACCAAAAATCAAAGTATTGGAAAATTATTCTTTTTTACAGAATTTACCAGTATCAGAAAACTTTGAAGTTTCTTTTTAATGAAATCCTCTACGTGAATCAAGTGAATTGCTATAATACTTCGAATTAGACAATTCGGAAGATTTCATTTGATGCGAATTATACTGAAGTACGTCCCTGATAGATGGATTACTCTGTTTCAGAAATAACGTAAAACAATACGATTGATAAATACCTGTAACAAAATGATATACTATAACTGTGTATATATTTTGTAAAACAAATTGAGTTACGGCAGGTGTTTTAGGGTACAACATTATAATACTACTGTTATTACAGAAAACAGCTTATTTATCCAACGCCATTGGGCTTCCATGAACATTTGGGTGGTGGGTAAAAAACGCTGCTCGAACTTTTTTAAAACTTAGTAGTAGTATACTAAACCACATATCTTCACACAATATTTACGAAGTGTTAAGTTATACCCACTACACAATATTAAATATTTAGCCACAAAACAACCCATCTGAACAGAGAAATACAAATAAGAGTACAAAAGGTCTAACAAATAAATGAGAGTCAATTTTCAGCCTGAATGAGCAAGCTGATGACAAAATACATCCCAGTCAGTGAAATTCATGACGAATGAATTATGATTCTTGCGTTTATACTGTAAAATAACCTATTCCCAGAGTTCACTTTATTCAAATCTCTTGACTGAAATGTAATCAGTAGTGCCTGCTATTTCAGTTGCAGCAAATAAATCTAAAGTGTTTCAGCTTATCTACTACATCACGTTAAAAAAGTTATTGCATAGATTTGAAGCTTCATAGAATATCGTCTAAGTATGTGCTACATACTTACAACCACTGGCTAATTTCAAGTAACGTTGGTTGTGACAAACAGAAAACGAAAGATACTCCACAACATTTAGATTAAAACAGAAAACCAAATCAGAAAGGTTACAACGAAGCTGACGATCAAACGGTGAACTGTGGTTGAAATTTCTAAAGATGGCCTGTAACTTTAAAATTAGCATTTTGGGTTGCAGTTCACTCCATTTTATTACAAGGGAAAGATATGACCACCGCAGTGAGGAAAGAGAAATCGGTCACAGGCTTTTGATAAGTGTCCTAGACGCGTCGCTCGCACATTGTGGAATCACCATGTACACATGAAAGATGAGGTAGCTTATCCAGTTGTGAACTCCCACCGACTAATATGGCTTGGCAATGTGGTGTACATCACCACCAACCACCTACCCCGATGAGTGACGTTATTCAGAATACGATGGGCTGGAGAAACGGTTAAGAGTGGTCAGACTACGACTTGGTAGCAGTGCATGGAGTCTTTAACTGTTGACTTGGGGTAGTGGACCACTGATCAAGGCAATTGAGTTCCAACTTTTAGGTTACGGGTTCAGACCCAATCCCACCCCAATGAAGTTCGGGTAACCACGAACCATTCTGATCAGAGTGATCTAAACACCAAACGGCCGTTTCGCTCGTTACATTACTCTGATCTGGCTAGCGAAATACTACAGACCAGTCTGAGTGGTTTCTAACTTCTTAAGTTGTTCTGCAGAAATATCTTTTGCCGTTTCATGACACTTTTGTATCAGAGATCACGCATGTGATCTCGGCTGAGTGATCTGCAATGGAAACCCTGTTGATACCACAGTTGCGCAGTGTAATAAACTACTCAATTGTGATAAATGTCAACATCGACCGTGAAATTTGTAAATCATTTGCAAATCGATCATCCTATCTTACATAAAGAGCGTATGCGAGATAGCAACTAGATTATTGAAGCCTTTTGCAAGCAATAAAGCTCACAAAATCTTTTAAATTTCTAACATGCAGACCAAAGGTACAATGGCAAAGGAAGACAAGACAAAATAAACTGCAGAAACTGTGAAAAGCACTATATCGAACAGGGTGGTCGCCTCCTTTGTGTCCACCTACATGAATATGAACTGGCAGTGAAGCGTGATGACATATATTTGCTCATATCAATATATGTAGACAACTGTGGACATGAATTCAGCTAAGGAAATATGCAAATGCTGGATAGAGGATACCAGAGACATTTTAGAAGCTTGGCATTTAAGTCAGTCAGACATCAACAAACATATTCACATAATCTACCAACCAAAAAGAAACACAAAAAAAGAAGGTTAAAGTTCGTATCAACATGCCAACCAATCGAAGTATGGAGACGATGACAAGATTTCAGCAGAAACAAATAATCACACCCGAGACCATCAGGACAGGCTACTAAACCACTTGAGGAGAAATTCCCATGGCTCACTTATTTCTGAAGTTCGTGTTGATGATGTCACCTAGAATGACAACGAAAGCTTCGCAATTAAACCATCCAACTCAGAGAACTCAACATCATCTAGAGTCTCGTTTTCTTCTATTCTTATTATCATCATTATTATTTGTCCCTTGGGTTCCTAGTGAAACATAGGGCTTCAGTAGCACATCTCCATTGCACTCTGTTCTCTGAAATCTTTTGGACCTGGCTCCACGACAGCCCACAAGCTCTCATTTCCTCCTCATATTATCTCCTCCATGTCATCCTCAGCTGGGACGCCCAACTCGTCGTTTCCCATTTGGGTTCGACTAGACGACCTGGCCTGGCGCGTGGTGTCCCCAAACCGTCTTCTAAGTGTATGCCCAATCCCATCCATCGCCACTTTCTTCTGCATATTTGTTGGGTGATAGGTTCTTGGTTGGTTCGTCGCCAGGCCAGACTTCCTTGTTGCCTATTCCCATTATTCTGGCCATCTGAGCTTCAGTATCGAGCCAGCGTGGGTAGTTGTTGATGAATGTCTGTAGCTCGTTGGATATCCCTTTCGTAACGCGCCAAGTCTCTGAACCATATAGAAGCACTGGCTTGACATCGGTGTTGAAAATCCAGATCTTGTTCACGCTTTATGCTGAATGTAGATCTCCACACTGGTTTCAGGTTAATGAACGCCTGTCTTGCTGTCTTTCCAATCCTGGTTGCTTTGACGTCCTCGTCTGTACCACCCGTAGTTGAAACGGTGATGCCTAGATAGGTGAAAGAGGCTACTTCCCTTAAGTTTCTCCCGTTGATGGTGATTGGTGTTAGTTGTTGCTGGTGGTGTCGGTTGAGTATCTTCATCACCTCTGTCTTCTCTACGTCCACTTGAAGGAAGTCCCGTCTTCGCTGCCCTGCCTCTTCTGTCAACTTGTTGGATTTTGCCTGTAGATCTTCAAGTTTGTGTGACATTAGACACAAATCATCGTCGACGAAATCCAAATCTTCTAGGATATTTTCCCCGGTCCAGTGTATCCCCCTCTTCTCACTGCTCACTGTTTGTTGCATGATCCAGTCGACCACAATCAGGAAGATCATGGGTGATAGTAGGCGGCAGCCTTGGTTTACTCCTGTCTTCACTTCCAATTCAAAGGCATCACTGAGCTTCCCATTGTGAATTACTTGGCATGTGGAGTCTTCATATAGTTCTTGAATGAGATTGATAAAGGTTTGTAACACTCCGTCGTGTTGAAGCAACTGCTAAATTACTTCTCAGTCAAGGCTGCCGAAGGCCTTCTCAAAATCGATGAAGTTGAGATAGAGAGTTGACTACCATTCTATGTTCTCTCCAATGATGATGCGAAGCGTTGCAATTTGGTCCGCACATGATTTGTACTTCCTGAATCCAGCCAGTCAGCCCGTTCTGGTTGTAGTTTTGAATCCAGCGCATCCTTTAGTCTCTCCAGGATGATGCGGCTTAGTATTTTGCTTGGGATGACAGGGACAGCAGCATGATTCCTCGCCAATCCTTGCAAAGGCTTAGGTCTCAATTCTTTGGAAGTTTGACAAGGTAGCCCTTCTTCCAATCTGCAGGTACCTTTCCTGCCTTCCTTCCAGACCTTCTGCAGCAATGGTGTGAGCATATCCGCTGTTGTCCCTGCGTCTGTTCTCAGTGTTTCTGGAGGAATTCCATCTGGTCCTACTGCTTTGCCGGATTTCAGCAGTTTTATGGCATTCAGGACTTCGACTTTCGTCGGGGGGCCTGTGTTCACTGGTAGTTCTGCCGTTGCTGATGGTATTTCAAGACGATTTGCAGGTGGTGGTGGGGGTGGTGGATTCAAGAGCTTTTTGAAGTGGTCAGTCCACTGTTTCCTTTATTTTTCCTCTTTGGTAACTAAGTTGTCTTCACTTTATTTCATTGGTTTCGTCTACGTTGATCTCTTCCCTCGCAGATAGTAACTTGGTTATTTGCGTCGGTTATTTGGTCTTTGCGCGCACTCTTCTTCACTTGTTTGTCCGGTGTAGTGTTTTATACATTGTACTCAGTTCCTCTTCTCATCGTTCATCTTTGCACTGGTTTATCTTCTGCTTCACCATCCTCCTCTCCATGCTCTATCAGCTTCCATGTGTCCATCGAGATCTATTCCTTATCTTCTTTCTTCTTCCTTCCCAATACGGTTATGCAGGTTTCTTTCCACATCTCTTTCAAAGACTTCCAGTGTTCATCCACACAGGTTTCTTCAAGGATGTTGCTCGATATCTCCCATTTTGTCTTGATGGCTGACGTGAAGATTTTCCTTGTAGTTTCGTCCTTCAGTTCAGTTTCTGTTCTGGGTGTTGGACCTGAACTGTGGTCTATCACCAATCTCCTTGAAGGCTTTCAACTTGATTTTGAAGGTAGGTTCCTTGTACTAGATAGTAAGTGGTGTGAACCTACATCTGCTCCCCTTCTTCATCTTGTGTCCAGTGGGTTGCGTCTCCATCTCCACTTTCTTCACATTGAGATGAAGTCGATCTGATTTTCAGTGTCGATCTGGTGAAATCAGATCCATGTCGCTTTGTGAATATCCCTGTATTTGTTTGTACACACTACCTACAATCACCAAATCGTTGAATGCTCAGAAATCTGTAAACAGTTCTCCGTTCTCATTCATAATTTCGCCGAGTGCTTCTCGACCGATGATTGGTTCTCTTCCTATGTTTTCCGCTCCCAGTTTGGCATTCATGTTATCAATTAAAATTTTGATGTCGCCAACTGGAGTGAGGTATTGTCCAGTACTGATTGCAGTTGTCCGTAGAATTCCTCCTTCTTCTCTTCGTTTGCGTTGTTTGTAGGTGCATAGCATAGAATTGTATGATTGTGACTTTCCTTTCTTCTGAGTTGAATCTTGCTGTCATGATCCTGGAGGAGGAGACTGGTTCCCGCTGCATGAGAGCCTTCGATGCCCTTGGGTACATCATGATATCCACTCCAAAACTCAGTCTGCTGTACTCGTGGTTGTCATCTGGGTGGCAATATTGGAGTAGATGATTGACTCTCCAGTTAACAGTCTGGAGAGTCCACTCCCATCCCATCTGTAGATTCCTCTCAGATTCCTAGTACTTCTATGCTATACCTTCTCAACTCAATCTGGGCAGCCTTGCTAGCCAGCTTCAAACATTGTGCCGACATTCCATGTCCCCATGTTTACTTTCGCTTTCATCGAGAGGAGAGACATCGGCCGATTGGCTCCTCGAAGGCTTTCACCAACCGGCATCATTTCGTCTCTCCGATTCGAGAGAGGAATAAGTTTGTTTTTATGTTTTATATTTTGTCTGTGCTTTGAAGTTTCCGCAGCGGTTGGGTTGGTTTTACGGGGTAGGATTGGTAGCCCTATGCCCAACCTTCTCTCTCTAACCGGGCTTAGGACCAGCCAGTAACTAGTTAACCTGATAACATCAATGAGTTTACCAGCATAAGTCTTCGGTAGGTTACAACGATAATGATGCATAACGGTGTAGGAAATACAGTTGTCGGATAAAAAAATCCACAATGTGTTAAAAACGTAAACCATCTTGGACAAGTTATGTTGAATAAGGTAAAGAAAAATTATTATGGTATATACAATTCATTTAATTAATCTTACTACAACTTACAGGTGAATTCCTATAATGAGGCTCATAACACGAATATGGATTACGAACATTACATGATGTTTGTCTACCGTGTGGATTTATCGCAGTAGAGTCTGTGGTTGGATAATGAACATTTCTGGAGGACGGATAACAGCCGTATGCTCTATTTATACTATTTGATTCATTCGGATTATGGTATGAATAACGAGTATTACCATTTGATGAATTTTCATTGTGATAAGAACGATTCGATGACTGGTCTGCATAGAATGATGTGGATGGTCTGTTGTGATATCCTTGCACTTGTTGTTGTCGAGATGCATTGTTGTGGTGTTTATAGGAATCTGAAAAAGCCGGACTACTTGTAGATCTTTTCGCATTGTTATTACTATTATTATTAATAGTTGCATTGTTTGAACAGGGACCCTGGTAACAAGTTGTAAACGATCCAGGAAATTCATTGTGTGTTATTTCATTTCGGGGTATCTTGACTGGCGCAAGGGTACAATGCCTAGATTCATTTGAAAGAGAAGAAACTGAGTGGATAGTTAAACCACTACGTGTTTCAATACTTGTCAATGGTTGATTTGCGACCTCATGGGAATTTAATAGAGGAAAATCCTGTTCTGATGAAATGCCGCGTTTACTTCCAACCAATGCTATAATAAAGAAAATAAACTGCTGATAAGAAGATAAATAATTAAAACATAGGCATGGTACGGTAAATACAATGAAATCATCTAGATGTAACTGCAGTGCAGAGCTTTTTCTGAGTGAAATACAGATATGCCCAATGGTAAAATCAGTGCATCAATATATGGATAAAATCCAGTTAACTGAAATCTCTATGGTAAGAATGCACTCAAAATGACTGACTAAACAAGAGAACTAATGAAACAACCAATTAGATTGTTTTATTGTATGAAAAAAACATCCAGTCCGACCGAGACAGAGGGCTTCAGAATCACCTCTCAGATACACCATTGCCACTATTCCAATAATAACAGCTTTGTGTGAGGGTTCAGACTGCATTTGTGTGTGTTTAATCGTACATTAGGCTGGTGACTAAATTAGCTATGTTAGACCCCAAATGTGATACGACTGACTCATTAGAGACTTCCCAAGCTAAATGAAGCCAAAAGATCAGTCTGAAAGCCATCTAACCATGTATAGTTTCAACAGACAGGAGTAGCAATGATAGTTTCAATATGTACGATCACAAAAGATATGCTTATGAGCAGTTAGGAGGAACTAATGACATTAGAAACACTTCGGCCCAATCCAAAAGTAAAATGGAGAAATGTTCCTGACAAACTCACTGTGTAGAAATCAGAAAATATACAGCTTTTTCGTAAGAGCTCGGTAGCGGATGCGATCTACTTCATTTATGAATTAGAAAATCCAGAAGGGAAACAAAACTATTTAAGATTGTAAAATAGAATAAAAAGATGACAGTTTAGTAGCCAACCTTTGTGAGAAACGATCACACTTGAATAGATACTTAGTTTTTACATCATCTGACCTCATATGCGTCAAGGTCGGCTGAGTGAAATATTTAGATATTACTATTCGGTAATCAACCTCCGGAGTTTATTTTAAAGTTTATAAGGACTCTCAAGTGAAAACGAAGCAACAATATAAGCAGTAACTGGAAAATGACTAAAAGGGAATTCAATGACCTTTTGTAGAGTCTTCATATAAAGAAGGAATATTGTGAAGTCTACACCGGATTCTTAACGGTCATGGAATTAGGGCGGTATTTAAAATCACAAACTCACTTCGAGAGAAACCTCATAGAATAAAAGATCCTGTAAACGCAAATAAGTAAAATAACCTAATCAATCAAACACCGTTAAATGATTGTGACGTCAGGTTTATAAGATCAAAGTAATTGATCATGATCAGCCATGACATCAGAACACAAAGATTTAGCTAAATATGAAATAGTGGACCCTACTGAGATAATTGATCCAGAGAAAAGCTCGGCTATCAAAATCCAATTAAAAAAGTAAGAATGACGAACTGTTATAGTTTAAAAAAGGAGTTTGGTAATTGTGACTACTTTGATATGATTACGTACGACAAATTGTGCTCAAAAGTTCATTCAATAAATAATACTGTATCGCTGGGTGCTATATCAAATAGGCTAATCTAGAGTGGAATTGTACTGTTTAACAGAGTGCAAGTTTTACTATTATAGAGGTGAAAATGATGCGACTGATAGTAGTTAAATATTAAAACAAAAAGACAATAAAACGAAGATGGAACGACCAACAGCTGCAGAGTTCACTTACTAAAATAGTGACATAATATGACTACAATAGGGCTTTCATCACAATGTTCACAATCCAGATAGTAAGCGATAAAGGGACATATGCAATACCTCAAACCAGATAAATCGGCAGTTGTTTACAACTCATTCAACCAGTTACCCAACGTTTTATCCCAAGGTGATTGATAACGCACATACTTGCAACATAGCATAAACACATACATACATATTTAATTTCAATGGTGCAGGGTTATTATTATTATTATTAGTCCCTTGGGTTCCTAGTGGAACATAGGGCTTCAGTAGCACGCCTCCAGTGACCTCTGTTCTCTGAGATCTTTTGAACCTGGTTCCACGACAGCCCACAACCTCTCATTTCCTCCTCGCACGACCTCCTCCATGTCACCCTCGGACGTCCAACTCGTCGCTTCCCATGGGGATTCCACTCGAGGGCCTGACGCGTGATGTCCTCAGTCGGCCTTCTCAGTGCATGGCCAATCCATCTCCACTTCTTCCTGCATATTTGTTGCGTGATAGGTTCTTGGTTGGTTCGTTCCCAGAGTTCCTTGTTGCTTATTTTTTCTGGCCATCTGATCTTCAGCAGCGAGCGTAAGCAGTTGTTGATGAATGTCTGTAGTTTATTGGAAATGCCTTTCGTGACGCGCCAAGTCTCTGAGCCATACAAGAGCACTGACTTGACGTTGGTGTTGAAAATCCGTATCTTGTTCCACATGCTGAGTGCAGAAGATCTCCACACTGGTTTCAGGCTAATGAACGCCTGTCTTGCTTTTCCGATTCTGACTTTGACGTCCTCGTCCGTCCCGCCTGTAGTTGAAACAGTGCTTCCTAGATAAGTGAAGGAGGTTACTTCCTTCAAGTTTCTCCCGTTGACGGTGATTGGAGTTTGTTGTTGTTGTTGATGGTGGTGGTGCGGTATCTTCATCACTTCTGTCTTCTCTATATTCACCTGAAGTCCCGTCTTAGCTGCCTCTTCTGTCAACTTGTTAGTTTTTGCCTGCAGATCTTCAAGTTTATGTGACATTAGGCATAAGTCATCGGCGAAATCCAAGTCTTCTAGGTTCTTTTCCGTCGTCCAGTGTATCCCCCTCTTCTCGCTGCCTACTGTTTGCTGCATGATCCAGTCCACCACAATAAGGAATATCATGGGGGATAGTAGGCAACCTTGTTTCACTCCTGTCTTCACTTCAAAGGCATCACTGAGCTTCCCATTGTGGATTACTTGGCATGTGGCATCTTCATATAGTTGTTGAATGAGGCGGATAAAGGTTTGCGGTACTCCGTAGTATTGAAGCAGTTTCCAAATTACTTCTCGGTCGACGCTGTCAAAGGCCTTCTCAAAGTCGATGAAGTTGAGGTATAGAGCTGATTGCCATTCTACGCTCTGTTCTATGATGATACGAAGCGTTGCAATTTGGTCAGCACATGATTTGTACTTCCTGAAGCCTGCCTGTTCCGGTCGCAGTTTTGAATCCAGTGCGTCTTTAAGCCTCTCCAGGATGATGCGGCTTAATATTTTACTTGGGGTGGATAGGAGAGTGATTCCGCGCCAGTTCTTGCAAGCACTGAGGTCTCCCTTCTTCGGCAGTTTGACAAGGTAACCCTTCTTCCAATCGTCAGGTACCTTCTCTTCCTCCACACCTTCTGCAATAGTGGTGTGAGCATGTCCGCTGTTGTCTCTGCATCTGTTCTCAGTGCTTCTGGCGGTATTCCATCTGGTCCTGCTGCTTTCCCGCATTTCAGTAGCTTTATGGCGTTCAGGACTTCCATTTTCGTTGGGGGATTTATGTTCACTTGTAATTCAGCGGCTGCAGGTGGTATTTCTGGACGAAGTGCAGGTGGTGGTCGATTCAAGAGCTTCTTGAAGTGGTCGGCCCATCGTTTCCTCTGTTTCTCTTCTTTTGTAATTAAATTTCCTTCTTCATCTTTTATTGGTTTCATCTGTGTTGGTCTCTTCCCTGATAGCAACCTGGTTATTTGATACAATGTCGTCAGGTCTCTCTTACCTGCAGCCTGTTCTGCTTCACTTGCCAGTGTGTCGTAGAAGTGTCTTTTGTCTTTGCGTGCACTCTTCTTCACTTCTTTATCCAGTGTTTTATACATTGTGCTCAGTTCCTCTTGTCGTTGAGCATCCTTGCACTGGTTTATCTTCTGCTTCACCATCCTCCTCTCCTCTATCAGCTTCCAGGTATCCGTCGAGATCCATTCCTTGTCTTCTTTCTTCTTCCTTCCTAATACTGTTGTGCAGGTTTCTTTCCACATAGCTTTCAAAGACTTCCAGTGTTCTTCCACACAGGTTTCTTCAGGGATGTCCCTCGACGTCTCCCATTTTGTCTTGATGGCTGCTTTGAAGATCTCCTTTGTAGTTTCATCCTTCAGTTTCCGAGTGTTGTACTTGAATTGAGGTCTATCACCAGCTTCCTTGAAGGCTTTTAACTTGATTTGGAAGGTTCCTTGCACTAGATAGTGGTCTGAACCTACATCTGCTCCTCTTCTTGACCTTGTGTTAAGTAGACTGCGTCTCCATTTTCTTGAGATTGAGATAAAGTCGATTTGATTTTTAGTGTGTCCATCTGGTGAAGTCCATGTCGCTTTGTGGATATCCTTGTGCCTGAACACACTGCCTCCAATCACCAAATCGTTGAATGCACAGAATTCTGCAAACAATTCTCCATTCTCATTCATTTCACCTAGCGCCTCTCGACCCATGGTTAGTTCTCTTCCCGTGTTGTCCCCTCCCAGTTTGGCATTCATGTCGCCCATTAGAATTTTGATATCGCCAACTGACGTCTTGTCCAGTGTTGACTGAAGTTGTCTGTAGAATTCCTCCTTTTTCTCTTGCTCTGCATTATTTGTAGGTGCATAACATTGTATGATTGTGACCTTTCTTCCTTTTGAGTTGAATCTTGCTGTCATGATCCTGGAGGAGATTGGTTCCCACTGCATGAGAGCCTTCGATGCTCTTGAGGACATCATGATAGCCACTCCCTCAGTGTGCTCGTGGTTGGCGTCTGGGTGACCGGAGTAGATTATTGATTCTCCAGTTGACAGTTTGGAGAGTCCACTCCCATTCCATCTGCTTTCGCAAATCCCAAGCACTTCGATGTTATACCTTCTCATCTCCTTTGCAATCTGGGCTGCCTTACTGGGTTCAAACATCGTGCGGACATTCCATGTCCCCACGTTTACTTTCGCTTTCATCGAGAGAAGACACATCGGCCAATTGGCTTCCCGAAGGCTTTCACCAACTGGCGTCATTTCGCCTCTCCGATTCCAGCGGGGAATAAGTTTGTTTTCATTTTTTATATTTTGTTTGTGCTTTGAAGTTTCTTTAGCGGTTAGATTTGTTTTACGGGGTAGGGTTGCTAGCCCTATGCCCAACCTTCCCTCTTTACCCGGGCTTAGGACCGGCTAGTAACTAGTGAACTAGTTAACCAGACGAGGTGCAGGATACTTAGGTGATTAATACGCATACTTCGTCTGCACTACAGGTTAAGTAGATGGTAACAGAGATTTTTATCCCAGGCATTAAGTTGTCAGTTACAATCCATCAGAGCTGATAGAAATCACTGGAAATAAGAAATGACTAATGAAAAGAAAAACTTCCCTTTTTACTGTCGAATCACGAACTAATGATTGTTAGTTGTCAAGTAATATCTTGCATTCATTATCACTATTAATTAAGTCAGGTGACACTATGTTTCTGAAGCAACTTAACAAATTTTTTCCGTCTACCTGCTTTTCAATGATCGATTAGTCCTCCTGAAGCACTTGTGATCCCAAACACATTAAAACTGATAAATACAGTTGAATGTGAGGCAACGTTTCACCTATTCCAAGGGCTTCCCAACTATCCGAAAAGTACCTTCATGATATATCTCCGTGGAGATAGTGCTAATTATCTATCCGACTGTTAGGTCATTTGTATGACCAGTGTACGATAGCTTGATGAATACATGTTTCTTCGGGACAGAGTGAACAATGTGTCTCAATGCTTTGTTCACTTTATATTCACATATAGGTTTCATTGAGTAGTTATTTTTAATTAACGTCTGTATCAATAACCTGACATTTCTTCAAATGCTTAAAGTTGTAGTCAGTGTAATATAATGAACGTAATAAAGTTTTTCACATTATGGCTATTAGATACGTAATATTTAGTGCACAATTTTGTAATGTTCACCAAATATCTAGTCAACGCATAGGTTTCTAAGCACACGATGGAGTCACAATACGAAAATACTGTGCGATATGCAGACTGATGATGGGATTGATGCAAAATATTCTTTCATAATAATGATTATATTTCAATGTAAGTAGTAAAATGATATTTCAAAAATAAAATACAATCTTGTGGTACACCACAGCCTAGTAAAGAATTGAAACTCACAAACTGATGACAAGCTGACGGGTACATCTATTTGGGTACTGGAGTGGATGCTGTCATTATACGAACGTTTCGTAAGATCACGATCACCAGCAGACGGAAAATGCTTTGGATTTGAAGAGGTAACGGTGCCAGGATAATTAGGCGTCTCAATACTTCGACTGACGTACGTCGATTGTATGAGATTCGATTCTAATGGATGAACAGTAGGCACAGTTGATGTCTGATTACACCTTTCAACGTATGAAACATTTGATAGGGACGTTGATGACTGTTTACTAGTCATACTTGAGGAAAGTGGAAATTGAGGAGTATTTTCAGAACAAAGAGTTGACTGTGAAAATTCGCTGGGTGGGAACTGGGGTGATAAAGATGATGGTAATGGTGCCACTGCATTTACTAAACGTGCAGAGGAGTTAGTGTCCGTTATGGGGATTCGACTATTACCTAGAAAATGAAATAATAAAAATGATTAAAATCAGAATAAAGCAACAAAATACTAAATGAAATGAGATGAGACAAAAAAAAAGATGTAAAGAAATACTGAATTTTGTAAACCTACGAATATCCTACACATGAACACTAATCAATAAGAACTATGTATCCAGTAAGAATGGACTCAGACTACAACGATTATCATTATTATCGAATGGTCTGAGAAGAGTTGTTTATAAAACTGCAAATGCCTTCCAGCAGCAACAACTGTTGAAATAAGTAATGCTCCATAATCACAGTTTCGTGCAGGTAAATAACACGAATTTAACATAGAAACAAAGTTAATTGTGTCATCACAAACAAAACTACGTATTAGGTTCGAAGTAATAAAGAATATCTTAGCGTTACGTAACTGCGATGTGTAAATATGATTTTCAAATCCATATCCGGTGACCATCAATATGTTGAGGGTAGTATGAACTCACATGATTTCTAGAAACGCTCTCTTACGTTTACGTATTTATAGTCTGTTAGGAAAATATCACTCACTGCACTCTAATAGCGGGGACATCTTCACAAAAGCGAAGAACATTTCATCCTTGTGACCTCATTGGTGGATACTGAAGGTTAATCTGGACAAACTGGCAAACGTTGATTTCAAACCACTAGTGTACGTGGAATCAATCACTCAGAACAGAGGTGGTGAATGAATCTGACTACCTGTTTCAATGTCACACTATCCACTACAGCCAAAGGTATACTGAGAAGCTGTGACTCGTTGGTATACTGTTACATAGCGACAAAAGGCAGCCAATAGGGGAGTTGTTTTCAAGTCATGATCAGATCATGATTTATGCATGCGCTGACATGAGAACCTGACTGGAGGAATTCGACCTCATACAAGAAATCGGATTGGTTCATTTATGGCCTCACTTTCCGAGAGTTTTGTAAATACATATATGTCATGTATTTGCTTAATAAAAGTTGTCACTGTCCTTGCAGTAACAGACCGTCTTTGTCTTCTGGTTTTACGCGGCGGAGTGAAGCGAAAGGTAATGAGGGAGGTCAGTCGTAAAGGTGTCCGGTTGAGGTGTCTATTGAGTCCCCAGTATTCATTATACCCATGCGCGCAACCCCACCACTGGGTCACAGCATATACGTGCTCAACTTTTAACTAATGGGCAATGGGTTCGAACCCCACTTCACCTACTGAGGTTCTGATGGCCAAACAGTATTATTACATCTTATACTGAAGGTGTGGTTCATTTCCTACTGCACAAATATGCATATAGTTGCTGAGTGTAGTATTTCCACCTTCATGCTGCTAGACTTGCACACCCGGTTAAAGTAAGAACTGGCTGGCGATTGAAACGATATGTCCATGTCATATTCGCAAATGCTTTGGATGGCTGAAGTTAAGGATGAGTTCTACGACCAACCGATTGAACTTCCCTACTAGGTGTGCTCGATAGATATCGTAGTGCCAGATGGGAAACCGAAAGTCCGGTCCGAAGCATAGTGGAAAGACGCTTAGGTAACCAAGAAAGATTAGTTGATTGCAAATCAAACAATGGGGACGATCTTCTAGTAATGTGTAGATTGCACACTATTCACCAGACAATACCAACTTCTGGAACAGTCATCGTCGTTGTGCTAAATGGTGTCCCCCTCTGCCCTCAAGTATAGACTTAAACAGATTATACTGCAATATGCTACCGATGTCATCAGTGTATTCAGAACTGTCACTTCTACTGAATCACAAGTTTACACTTTGGTCACGCCTTAGTATGTGATAGTTCCATCTTATGCTTCAGTCGTCATCAAAGTCACTGTCCTAAACAGGTCATAATTGGTGAATCGGTAGAATCGGGTACTGCAACTATAAAACACCACGACCAGCAAGGTTCATGGCTAGATGTCAAACCTTAAAAAGGTACTGATGAGCTTTGATTTCACCTACAAGATGCCATGAAAATGGTAAGTTAATAAGCCTGACTTCGAAGAATGTCTTGCTAATAAACACTGAGCCGCTGTAATCTCCTTGAAACTTGTTGACGTTCATCGGCCTATTCTGACGGACAGCGAGTACAATAGTATGTGTAAGTCCTTTACGCGGCAAATAACACCGAACCTACGTAGCCACCAAGAGACTTGGTGATCAGAACGCAAGACTGAGACGGAAGCAACAGCTGCACCTAACAACAGTCGAAAGTTGTTTTAACTTATTCAAGTACATGGCAGCAGGAAGCATGGTGTCAGTGAAAAATCTGCGACGTAGATGGTACGCTAATTAGCAAACTTCGTAAGCACTTGGAACGTTGGATGAAGCACGTAGAGATGCACAACAGACAACTAATAATTTTATCGGAAAGATAATTATCTTCCATGCAACTGTTTTTGTTTTTTCATAAATATATAAACATTGAGAAACAGGTGCATGCTACCGCATCGAACACGAATATTTACAATCGTTCGGTAACCCCTTTTAGCAAAAACCAGAAATGTTAAAGCATGAATAATAAGGAAAGTAGCAAGGTTACAGTTACTACAAGTAAGCTTACAGTTTTCAAGAGGTGACATCTTCACTATGCAATATACGTTAGAGGCACAGGAAACCGCTAAAACCAGTCTCAAAGGAGAGAACAGTTAAGTAGTATTTGTGACCGTTATATTATGGACTCAACTAAATGCATATTACATGTGTATTCAGGTGGTCGCTGAGTTAAGTCTTTTGTGGATGATTAAAAAGGTACTTACAAGAAACGACAAACACGATTTACTCCATCTTTCAAGAAAACGTTATAAACCGTAGATGACTCAGGCATCGTGTCGAAACGTTTTCTTACAAATCATTCACAATGTCAGCTGATTGCGACAGACTAATAACCAAAACGTAAAGAAGCTCAATTAATAAAAGCCTGAAAAAAATGGTAAATATTTTGGCTCTTACAGTATTACTATGAGTAACATTTTGGGCAGTGTACTACAGTATAATTCCTTTTTATATATATCGTAAAAAACGGAAATATCCTTCGATAAATTATCTTTTCAATTAATCCTGATTTGACGTGCGACTTCCGCCGTCTAAAACCAAAACTTTCACATCATTTCAGTCTTATTTCTTTTCCTTCTTTATACCCTTCTTACAACAGAGAGAGACAAACAGAAGTAATTCAATGAAGTTTAACACAAAAGAAACCCTTGATCATTCCACTAGATTGACAAACAGACATTAGAAAACAGCTTAGATGCGCTTGGCTGAAAACTGATACACATCATTTGGAGATTAGAATTAACAAATTTCTAGAACATTCATGTAGAATGAATGATACCAACACAAGACTTGGCATTAATGTGCAACAATAAAATCTTTCGAAATTCATATCAGCAAATAACGATAAAAGGTACAAAGATGAAAGATAGGAAAATCGAAAAGAATGTCGTCGAAAGTTGTAGCCTTGTGAAGAGAGAGGGAGGCGATGAATGAGATATGAAAATTCGAATGAAGATGATTTGTATATGGGTCTGTATAGTTAGATGAATTTTCAACCATATCAACTTGAAGTATCCAACCATTGACTTTGGTTGCTGAATAGAATCCAACCAGGGAGCCTGCTTTTCCCTGTATAGCTCAGGTCAAAAGGCAGGGGATCTATGGACTGTTACCACGTTTTAGTTTGATAGCGTTTAACCCTTTTCTAGCCTGAACGTACACATGTGCCAGTCATGTTAGTCGATGATGATTTACAATCTCAACATATGACACACCTCTCTTACCTTAGACTCAACACCTAACCTCTGAATGAATTACTAGTGTGTAACGGTTCCACGAAAGAACCAATGCTAAGAAGGGAACGGTAGTCGAACAACTGAGTAATGATGGTGTCGTTCAACACTAATTATCAAGTTGAATAGACAAAGTGGACAGTGGTACAATAAAATCCACCTTTGGTGAGGAATTGGATACCAGATCGGTGCTATAAGTGGTGTAAAATTGTTGGTAAAATTCATTCGGACCTTTTGTATCTGTGCAGGGATTTCATCAGTAACCAACTCAGCAGAACTCACTCGACTTCCCAAATAAGTGAAGTGAGCAAAGTGCTCAGCTAATTGATTCCATACTGCTAAACAAAATAACAACTTAGACCAGCCCTGAAGTAACGTATTACATTTGGGTGGCGAGAAACGCATTCCAAACATTCTCAAATTCCCGCTCAAGGTGTTCAGTAGACTAGTAATCTTGTTAATGTCTTCATCTGATAGAATTATGTCACCTACATATTCTAGGTCTACTAAGGAGTCACTTATCAAAACGTCGATTCCGGTTACATCGGACGAGAAAAGGAGACTTCCATAAGCACACAAATGACAAGATTAAATAAGAATGGAGAGAATGAATATCCGCGATGAACACTGGCCGACGTCCATGTCTCACCTCACAACTCACTATGAGCTCTGACACGCCGACGGTTGTTCCAATACGGAGCTCTCAACAAGGTGATATACTTACCCGACACACCTTACAGTGACAGATACTGCATAAAACCTCATGCGATGGACGGAGTCGAGATACGACTAGTGTCCGACGCTACTAGGTGCACTTGTTTCAACATCAAGCGCAGAATGAAGATTTGATCAAATTTGGAACATGCTTTTTTTCTGGTTCTCGCTGCCAAGTTCGGTCTAAGCATCTAATCATCGTAGAATATAGATTCTAAAAAAAGTCAACGTACGCAGAACTGATTCCCCTATGGTTATCAAGAGCATTTCCCCTCTTTCTTGAAGACCGGGACAGTCGGTGGCAGAGATACACTACAAAATATCATGCATAACTACTGCACTCTAACTACTTACTCTGTTTGTCTACTCGATATTCATGATCTATTGTCCTTAAATGGCTTTTTTGCTAGCCCATCGGATATTGCTGCCCATACAGTCTTTTTAATTCCTGTGATCGTGGTAAGTTTATTTTAATACTCCACTCGGGTTTCAGACACAAAGCAGGTAAGTGA